CACACGCACACACACGCACACACACATTCTCTCTACTTTGGTTTATGCTCTCTGTGTTTCATCTGTCGATATAATTATATTTCTTTTGCACGTGAACTGTGTGTGTGTGTGTGTGTGTGTGTGTGTGTGTGTGTGTGTGTGTGTGTGTGTGTGTGTGTGTGTGTGTGTGTGTGTGTGTGTGTGTGTGTGTGTGTGTGTGTGTGTGTGTGTGTGTGTGTGTGTGTGTGTGTGTGTGTGTGTGTGTGTGTGTGTGTGTGTGTGTGTGTGTGTGTGTGTGTGTGTGTGTGTGTGTGTGTGTGTGTGTGTGTGTGTGTGTGTGTGTGTGTGTGTGTGTGTGTGTGTGTGTGTGTGTGTGTGTGTGTGTGTGTGTGTGTGTGTGTGTGTGTGTGTGTGTGTGTGTGTGTGTGTGTGTGTGTGTGTGTGTGTGTGTGTGTGTGTGTGTGTGTGTGTGTGTGTGTGTGTGTGTGTGTGTGTGTGTGTGTGTGTGTGTGTGTGTGTGTGTGTGTGTGTGTGTGTGTGTGTGTGTGTGTGTGTGTGTGTGTGTGTGTGTGTGTGTGTGTGTGTGTGTGTGTGTGTGTGTGTGTGTGTGTGTGTGTGTGTGTGTGTGTGTGTGTGTGTGTGTGTGTGTGTAAAGCTAAGATAATTAACACCCTTTCTTTACTGCAATGAAGTTCTGACCTTATTCCTGGATTTCCTAAACCTTGATGATTTTGTCAACACCTGGCTAATTACTGTACTTGCACTTTACACCTGTACCTTACACCTGTACCTGCACTTTACACCTGTACCTTATACCTGTACCTGCACTTTACACCTGTACCTTATACCTGTACCTGCACTTTACACCTGTATTTTATACCTGTACCTGCACTTTACACCTGTACCTTATACCTGTACTTGCACTTTACACCTGTATTTTATACCTGTACCTGCACTTTACACCTGTATTTTATACCTGTACCTGCACTTTACACCTGTACGTTGTCCCTGTACCTGCACTTACACTCAGTACGTGTTGTCCCTGTACCTGCACTTTACACCTGTACGTTGTCCCTATACCTGCACTTTACACCTGTACGTTGTCCCTGTACCTGCACTTTACACCTGTACCTGAGTTCGTGAATAAACTTCCCTTGACAGACGATAATTTTGAATTTACACATAAAAGTCTATGGTCACTCAACACCACATCTCAGCTTTGTTTAAATTATTAAAATAGCAAGCTGAAATATGACGTTATTTTACCTATTCTACTCTACCCTAACCTAACCTACCCTAACCTAACCTAACCTAACCTAACCTAACCTAACCTAACCTAACCTAACCTAACCTAACCTAAGGCAAACAAGTAAATGGGGATAATTATATTTTTAATATAATTTTCGCCACGTTTCAGCTTACTAACTGTTCAGGCGGTTGATCTTTATACCCAGTGTCAGTACAGGAAGAACCTTGGGACAGGGCATACAGCCAGAAGACAGACAGACAGACAGACAGACAGACAGACAGACAGACAGACAGAGACAGACAGACACACACAATATAGAAGTACAGGTTACGGCGCTGTTCTCTGCACTTTTCCCGTATCTAGCGGTGTCACGTGATGGTCTAAAACCACATTGAAATTCTATTGGTAAGTATGATGAGCTGGATGATGGCTGTGTGTGAGTTTGATTTATGTGGTGAGGAAGGAGCACAGGCTGCAACCACACATCTTGGCTCTCCCTTATTCCTGGTCCAGTGGTGAAGGCAGCTGCAACGACTGGGGAGAGGGAGAGTTGCAATGGACTGCCGATAGCCTGTCCATCATACATTGCCTTCATCCACCGGTGTGTCGTTGGGATCTTATGGAGCTGTGTAAGCATAACTGAAGAGGTTATCTTATGGTGTGTATGTACATGATCTACCTGACAGAGCCCAAGCCGGGTTTCTGTCTGAGGTTTCTCCCATAGCCTTTGTTTTGAAGAGTATGACCACAAGACAGTCGTAAGCACCACCCACCCACTCACTTACCCACCATCTGCCTGCCCTCTCACCCCACTCCTCTCCCACACACTATCCTCTTTCATATACAATAAGGAGGGGAAAGACATCCTTCTTCCCCATGGTGGCTGAATTGAGTTTCCTCCTTATTTCACTCCTAATAGATTTCCCTCAATGTCTTGGTAATGTAATTCCTCTCGGGGTAATTTCACCAAAAAATCCGATTTGAGTTTTCTAAAGTTTTGGGGAAGGAGGGAAGCAGGAGGAGGAGGTGGAGGGAAGCAGGAGGAGGTGGAAGCAGGAGGAGGTGGGAAGCAGGAGGAGGTGGAAGCAGGAGGAGGTGGAAGCAGGAGGAGGTGGGAAGCAGGAGGAGGAGAAGTAGGAGGAGGAGGTGGAGGAAGCATGAGGAGGTAGCAGGAGGAGGAGGTGGAGGGAAGCAGGAGGAGGTGGAAGCAGGAGGAGGTGGGAAGCAGGAGGAGGTGGAAGCAGGAGGAGGTGGAAGCAGGAGGAGGTGGGAAGCAGGAGGAGGAGAAGTAGGAGACCCATTATCTTCTGCTTCAGGTTTCGTTACTAATAATGGTTGAAGGGTTCGTTGGGTCGGGGTCCCTAGATTCGGGATTCAGAGTTGGGGTTCGGGATCTGGATTTAGGATTCAGATTTAGGGTCCCAGGGTTCGGTTTAGAGTTGGGTTTAAAGGTCTGGGGTTCGGGTTCAGGGTGGAAATTTATAAATCTTTGGGTTGAAGGTTTCGTGTGAAGTGCTTTCGAAGTCTTGAAGTTCGGGATCAGAAATTCAGGGGTTCGAGGATTCAGAGGTTCGAGGATTCAGAAGTTCGGGGATTCAGGGGTTCGAGGATTCAGGTGTGTGTGTGTGTGTCGAGGAACTTGACTTTTGATTTCTACGGGAAAATAATAGAATCGAAACACACACAGTATGTACACACACACACACACACACACACACACACACACACAGAGAACAAGAGACGTGTTTTAACTTTTCGTCCCCCGAGAGAACCCAAAAATATAACCAGTAACTCGAAAGTCAATTTAGTAAGAGAATTAATAACGTAAATGGCGGCAATTTTGGGACTCCTATGAAGGGAAGTTTTATTAAATACTTGAGTACTGTGATATATATCCTTGAGTACTATGAGTTAACCCTTTGAGTACGATTAATTAACCCTTTAAGTATAGTAGACGTATTAAAAGGGTTAAATGCCAGGAGGAAGGGAGGGGAGGGAAGGAAGGAAGGGAGGGAGGGAGGAAGGAAGGGAGGGAGGGAGGGGAGGGAAGGAAGGAAGGGAGGGAGGGAGGAAGGAAGGGAGGGAGGGCAGCATTTGATGAGACACTCTCCCTGTTTCTCCCTTCTCCCTTTGTCATTGTCACCCTCTCCTTCTATTTCTGGCGGTACCCCTTCTCCTCCTCTCCAATTTTCCTCTTCGTCTCCTTCTCTTCCCCCAGTTTCCTTACTTCTCCGATTCTCTCTATTTATCCTCCCCCTTCTCCTCCTCCTCCCCCCCCCCTTCGTCTCCCTCGGTCAGCCAATCAGCAGCCGCCAGACGATCGTTAAACTTTGCAGCGTCACTCGTCCAGTCTGCCGCAGTGATGTAATTTAGTGACGTCTCCAACATGGCTTTGTGGGAAGTGACGTCAAAGATAATGTCTGTTTTCTTGTGACCAATTTGACGCAGTTTCTTGTTTCTTGTTACTATTGATATTTAGAACGTTATTCTTGTAGCCCTTTTGTAAATTATGGTAGTAATTTGTATGATTATAGCCTTTGAAAAGATTAAAATAGAAAATAAACAGGCGCACGGCTACACGAGTATGACGTCATGACTCCAAATAGTTGCTCATTTCTTAAACCTAATATTACATCATTATTAGTGTTACATCATCAAAAATCCTCCAAAAGTAATAAATTATAAAATAAATCGGAGAATAGGGAATATGGTCGTAATACAAACGTGACGTCAGAGGAAGCCAGAATATTGGAACATGGGCGAGAAACAGAGTAGCAAGCTATACTGTAGTGTGTATAAGCGATCACGCGAGCGTAAACAAAACGAGAAGCAGCACGCGACCTCCGCTCTATTATACCCAGAACATTAATGGAGGATATGTTACCCTTAATGATCCTACGGGAGCTGGCAGCCGCTGTAATTATGCCAGTTTAATGTTTTCCCTCATGTCATGGCAGCCGACCACCTCTCTCAACCTGAGTACTGACGGAAACACTGAGTACGGATGCTAGGATAATAACACTACTACTACTACTACTACTACTTACTAATTCAATAATGAACCAAGGTCCCTTTAAACGTCTGAGGTCCCTTACTACTGGAACGAGACACTGAACTGCTGGAACGAGTCTCTGAACTGCTGGAACGAGTCTCTGAACTGCTGGAACGAGTCTTTGAACTGCTGGAACGAGTCTCTGAACTACTGGAACGAGTCTCTGAACTGCTGGAACGAGACACTGAACTGCTGGAACGAGTCCCCGAATTGCTGGAACGAGACACTGAACTGCTGGAACGAGTCACTGAACCGATAGAATGGGTCTCCCAACTGCTTCTCTACCCATAGTTGGCGGTGGAGCATCTCAATTGGATTCGGTACAGTTTCGACCAAGAGTTAACAACATTCAGTGATCAAACACATATAAACACCACACAGGAAGGTATCTGGTGTTGATGGTAATAGTGACGCCATACTCTTATACACGTAAGGTCAGGTCAGGTCAGGTCAGGTCAGGTCAGGTTAGGTTAGCTTAGGTCAGGTTAGGTCAGAGGCTAACAACACCTACATACTAACAAACATATCACATAAAATATAACACCTAAGCTTATTTCACCTGATAATTAACCACCCATAATGCTTCTGTAACCTAACCTAACCTAACCTAACCTTAACTTGATCTAATTCATTCTAACCTAAAGTAACCTAACCTATACACAATGTTTGAGTCACTCCCCAAAAGAACAGTAACAAGTGCATATAAATGGCACTACTTACCGGCATAGTTTGTGGCACTTTAGGTGACCTTGGTTAATGGCACTGTGGAGGGCCATTACTACAGCTCCATCGTAAGTAGTGGTGAGGAGGGGTAATGGTGGAGGGGGTTAAGTAAGGGGGCAGTGGGGTAAGTAGCACTCAATATTCGACTTATACACGAGAAGGTTTTTTTTTTTTTTCGTCCATAGTTTTTTATATTTTTGTCCCCCCTTTCACTCTTTCTTTACGCACGGACAATGACCTACAAATCTATCAATCACTTAACTGACAATAATTCTATCCAGTTCCGGAATAATCAGAGATACAACTTCAGACACCCACAGCTACTAAGACCACCCCCCATCCCCCATGCGCTCCTCTCAGTCCCAGACCTCCATAAAATATCACTGTGTGAAGGTGTGGAACAACTTACCCCCACACATCCGAGCAAAGACTACGCTCCCTTCCTTTAAATCATCTCTTAAAAAATATCTATTGTCTAAGTATTAATATTTCTTGTAATACCTTTATACATTTACTTTTATTGCACCGTCAAAATCATTATATCATACATTGTGACGTAGATATAAATTACCATTGCAATAATTATATATTTACCGTCAAGCCATTATCCCGACTGGGTCTCTCCCTTTGTTCCACCCTAACATAAGCGATGTTGTACTGCTTCCCTCACTTATATTAATGTATATCAACTTCACTGTATATACTTTTAATATAAATGTACTACAAAAAAAATATGAATTAATAAATATTGAAGTGATAACCGTGGTAACATGTTCTTATTACTACCATGCTATTGTGCTATTCCAGATGATACTAAATGTTACATAATACTTCCTTGAGATAAATGTGTAGTATATATCAGGTGCCTCAAAGAGAGCTCAGGTTCTCAACTGGCTCAGCCATGTTAATATTGTTATTATTATCCACTCTGTATCTGTGTTTTTCTGGCTAAATAAACTGTTTCAATATCAATGTCTTTCCTTCTGTCTGTCTGTCTGTCTGTCTGTCTGTCTGTCTCCAGCACGTTACACTGTAGTCTACGTAGCTATAACAGACGGTATATTTACATCCGAGTATATAAGATATTTGAATCAATCACCAATAAAATACACCTTGTGAGCCCGTGTGTGTGTGTGATAAATGAGTACGTCTCTATAGGAATGTGTGCGTGTGAAAGACGACCATGTACGCGTGTGTGGGTGGCACGGGGTTAAGTGTTTTCACTGGATGTGTGTATCAATGTGTATACGTGTGTGTGTGTGGGGGTTAAATCACAGGGTGTCACGACTAACAACAACAGCAATTAACACGTGACTAAACTACGTGACAGTGTACCCTTCCCTCCCCTCCCCTCCCCCTTCACCTCCCACAGTGTCGTCTCCTTCTCCCTTCCCTCCTCCATTACATTAACCTTTCCCTCTAATCTTATCTTCTCAATCTCACTCATTTTATGTCACACACACACACACACACACACACACACACACACCATGGTCTCTGGAGGTCCTCACTGTACCACTATCAGGGTCTCCTCAGCAGGTAACAAGGGTGGCAGCTCAGGGCCACAGGTGTGTTGGTTCACCTGACGGTAGCCCAAATCATCTTGTTGTGATGTAAACCTAACCTAACATAACCTAACCTAACCTAACTTCACCTGACCTGACCTGACCTGACCTGACCTAACGTAACTTGGGGTACTTGTAAGCCCGGACCTACGGCCTAGAAACCAGTGCGTTAATGTTCGAAAAAAGGCAAACAGAGTATTGGGTTTTATATCTAGAAGTGTAAGTAATAAGAGGGCAGAGGTCTTATTGCAACTATATCTTGCGCTAGTCAGGCCGCACCTCGATTATGCGGTTCAGTTCTGGTGCCCCTTATTATAGAATGGATGCAACACCACTAGAGTCGGTGCAGCGAAGAATGACGAAAATGATTCCGGGACTTAGAAACCTTCCATATCAAGATAGGTTAAAGAAACTAAACTTGCATTCCCTAGAAAGACGAAGAGTGCAGGGAGATATGATAGAAGTATTTAAGAGGGTGAAAGGAATCATTAAAGGAAATATAGATAAAGTTCTTATAATATCCGAGCAGGATAGGACTCGTAGCAACGGATTTAAGTTGGATAAGTTTAGGTTTAGGAGGGAGGTAAGAAGGAACTGGTTCACAAATAGGGTGGTGGACGAGTGGAACAAGCTTAGCAACTATGTAGTAAGTGCTGGAACGCTGGAAAGTTTTAACAGGAGACTAGATAGATTCATAGATGATAGAGAGTGGTAGTAACTCTCGACAGGAGCTGCCATGCACAGGTCAACCGGCCTATTGCAGACTCCTTATGTTCTTATGTTCTAATGTAACCTGCTGCCTAATTAGCTCTACCAACTAAACCATCTTATCTCACATCAGAATTACTTACCTACCTGCTTTACTCACCTGTATACTCACCTGTCTACTCACCTACTCACCTGTCTACTCACCTGTCTACTCACCTACTCACCTGTCTACTCACCTGTATACTCACCTACTCACCTGTCTACCCAGATATTCACCTATTATTTACTTACTCATTTCACTTACTTTATATAATTATCTATGTTACTTCCCCGTTACTTCCTCTATCTTGCTACTTCCCTAACTACTACTTCCTCTTATACATTACTGTACAAGGTTCTATATCCCCATACCTTTCTTCCTATGGTCAGTATTCAATTGACTTATTCTTGCAACTTGTCGTCAAACTTTATGTCGGGAATAAACTATCATAACATTGGCTCTCTCTCTCTCTCTCTCTCTCTCTCTCTCTCTCTCTCTCTCTCTCTCTCTCTCTCTCTCACACATTCCAATAGTACAGATCGCGTGTTAGGTTAACTGGCCCCTGTTAGTGCGGCCCAACCAACCCCTAAATCAACAGTTGACCTTTGACCTTTGGGGTGAGATCACACTAGGTCGCGTGTTCTGATCATATTATCATACTTGTGTTGTACGTGTCTGGCTCCTCCTGGTTAAGGTTGTCTGTCTGTTACCTGTGTCTAGTTCTGTCTGTGTTTGTTTGTTTACCCGTGCTTAGTTCTGCATGTCTTTCTGTCTGTTTACTGTGTCTAGTTCTGTCTGTGTTTGTTTGTTTACCCGTGCTTAGTTCTGCATGTCTTTCTGTCTGTTTAAGTATGCATTTCCGTATGCTTGTCTGTCTGTCTGTATTTATGTTTGTAATAATAATAATAATAATAATAATAATAATAATAATAATAATAATAATAATAATAATAATAATAAACGGTTTATTAATAGAGTTGCAGCCGGTGGTTGAAAATATACAAACTTACATGTGATTTAGACATAATGATATACGATGAATACATTTACAGGGCTGTACAGTACATAAATCAGGAGTTGTTTATTATTTTAACAATAGATGGGATGGTGCTGTTTTTATATCTATCGGTGCGGGCTCTTATGGGCTGAATTTTGTTGTAGTGGCGGACTGCGTGAGGTGGGCGGGGGACTGCAGGTGGCAGTAGGTGGCGATGACGAGGGTGGTGCAGTAGTCCACTACTAAACCCTGCTAGTGCCTGGTGGTGGAGGTCTATGTGTCTGACTGTAGTTGTGTTTGACTGTTTGTCCGTATGTCTAAAGTCTGTTTTTCTGTGTAGTGCTGTCTGTCTGTCTGTCTGTCTGTCTGTCTCGCTTTCTCCGTTATCAATATTAGAAAATATCTACAACAACTACTACTACTACTACTACTACTACTATGACTACTACTACAAAAACAATAACTGCTACTACTTATACCACTTTTTTAATGGCCTTCATCCTCTCCCTATAGCCACACCTTCGCCGCCATTTTATGACCTTAAAATTAAATATCTTAATACATAAGTAGCTACCCTGTTGAGTTAGTTGAGCCGCAGATCTATGCGGCATTCAGTGACTGTTGCCGCGTAGTCAATATCTGCAAATGTTGTCGGCTTTGGGGCCGATGCTCTCGTTCCCCTGAGGCAGAGTAAAGCCGACCTAAGGAGAGAGAAGGACAGTCGACATCTCAACCAGGCTGTAACATAACTTCTGGGCTGCTGCTTCTGTTTGGATAACACCTCGGCCAGTCTGGCGTAGAAGCATCTTGCACTTGGTCTCATCCCACCAGAGGTTGTGAACACTAGAGGAGTGAAGCTGCTTTGATCAACGTTCTGAATTCTCTCCCCGTATGCCCTTATCTTGTCGTTCTCGTTCCTACCGTGTGCAGAATCGAGAGCTAAGTTACGGTGACATGCGGCCATGGGATCAAAAATCCTGGTGTCGAAGAAGGCTCGCTGTCCCCGCGTCCAGAATCCTCGAGCACTGACGTCAACACGGGCTTCGTTGGATGTGTTTGGAGTCCTATGTTGGAAATTCTCACCGTCCAATGGAAGGAGGGTCGGTTCTACCCTGACATCACGGCAGATTTCCTTCAACATATTTGCTGTGAGATCCCTTACTTCGTCATGCCTAATGCATATGAAGCCCCCTTTCTTGCACACCATGGCGTGATCGACGTCATAGGAAGAGCCACACACGCATTGGGAGGGCAAACCTTCTACTGGCCAACCGTACCTTAGAGCATTGGCATCTGTAAATTCTTGTTCATTGAGACTGAAACCATTTGTCCTTATCGGTAACGTAGTTAACCAGTTCGTGGCGCCCGCCTACTGTGCTATAGCTACTTTATTTTTGCTACTACTACTACTACTACTACTACTACTACTACTACTACTACTACTGGCCTTACAGATAAAATAAACAATACTGTATACAGAGTGTGTCTATATATATCACAGTGGAACTAACTTGTTATTACCACCAGGTGTAAAAAATATATGAATCATTTTGGAATATTTACACTGGGAGTACGTTATTTTATGACCTGCCTGCCATAATAAAAGATTCATTCCTCTCTCTCTCTCTCTCTCTCTCTCTCTCTCTCTCTCTCTCTCTCTCTATCTCTCAGCGAGGATAGGATCGGTTAGGTT